CTTTATAGTTTTATGTCTTTGCCACCAGCCAAGAAATATATCGGCGACCACAACCACACAAAATGTTGAGAATGGCAATACTATCAATGCCAAAAGCAATGTTGACGCAACATGTTTCATCTAATGTTGAGAGCACACGAGAGATATTCAATGAGAGAGTGAAGTGCCTTACCATCAGTGTTGCCAACAATTTGAGAGCTAAAAGCGTAATTAAAAACCAGAAAAGCGTAAATGGCGTAAAAACTTTCCTTAAAAAAGCGTAAAAAGCGCTATGTATTTTTTTTTACCAAAATGGCAAAATTGTCAATAAAACACTATTTTTAACTAAATGCTGTTTTATTCAAAAATTGAGATCGTATATTATATAAATATTTCATATGCATGAAGAGCATATTTATTTTTAAAAAATATGATATATTAAGAAGTTTTAACATGTGGTTAAAACTTTCAGACATACATTTTTATAAACAATTATGTTCACTCATAAATCCCATAGCTTCAAATGCAGTTGAAGTTCTGTAAACTCGTACAACAAAGCAGCCATGTATGAACTTACTTTTTTATACCCTCCACCATACTATGGATGGTATATTAACTTTGTCATACCGTTTGTAACTCCTCGAAATACTCATGTCATATTCTTGATGTCCGATGTCCGTCTGTCTGTCTGTTGTAATCACGCTATCTTTTGAACGAATTAAGATAGAAGGCTAAGATTTTGCACACATGTTTATTTTTTCAGTAGGCAGGTTAAGTTCGTGAATGGGCCACGTGTAGGTCCATGTCTTCGTATAGCCACCATATAATGGTACCTCCCGAATATTCGGTATTTTGATGATTTTAGCGACATTATTCACCGGAATTGTTTCAAATTACGTATTTAGAATTCGTAATGGGATCTACAATATGTGACAGAAAATTGTCTATGCAGTTCCAGGTTTTCGTATAGGCCCCATATATCACAACCTCCCTATATTCGGTATTTTGACGAGTTTAGGTACAATACCCACCGAAATTGTTTGAGATGTCGTATTTGAACTTCGTAATGTATGCTTCAGCCTATGACAGAAAATTGTCTATGCTGGTCCAGGTCTTCGCACAGCTCCGATATAACGGAACCTCCCTATAACGATATTTTGATGATTTTAGCTACATTATTCACCGTTTATTTCAAGTTTTCGAATTTGAATATGGTAATGGCTTATGACAAACAATGTCTATGTAGGTCCACGTCGTATAGACCCTAGTAAAACGGCTATATTCGGTATTTTTAAAATTTATACAGAATTTTTAAGGATTTTATTTTTTTAAAATTTCCAAATTCGTTCCAAATGGTGGAGGGTATTCAAAGTTCGGTCCGGTCGAACCTACTGCTTTTTAACTTGTTTCTCGTTCATTTCACTTTTCCTTCAATTGGTTTATAATACACAAAATTCTTCGTTTTATTTTAGTTTATTAAAAAAGAGTTACATGTAAACTAAAGAACTTCAATGACAGGAATGGAAGACACGTAAAGAATTTACAGTAAAGAACTTGCGATAAGTAGATGTCATACTATCGAAATATTCGAATGTATAAACATTGACACGTTTTAAAATCTAAAACCCGCTAAAAGCACCAACAGAAAAGATGAAAAGCGTACGTACAGTGCTTTTTTTTCGTTTCGCGCTATGCCTACTATTTTGGCGTTTTGGGGGGTCTAAAAAGCACCATAAATATCGCGAAAAGCACTAAGTTGGCATCGCTGCTTACCATAGCATAGACCAAGGTAGATCTAACAGTTAACCGCATCGGCGAATTGCTACAACAAAGCAACTTTTGTGGTCCCCTCAAATGTCAAAATTGGCATCTAAGGCGAAAAACATAGATTCGCCATGACATTTAAAGGTTGCGGCAAATTTGTTTCAACCAATCAGAAACGAGGTATTTGTTTACATTTTAATTTAGTGTGCCGCTCGTCGTAAACGAACGTCGCAATAAAAGTTTTTATTGTAAAACAAATAAGAGTAAAATAAGTATTAATTGTAGTATTGCGATATTTTTTAAACCAAGAAACTTATAATGACTATATTTTACTGGTTTAAACCGAAAGTTTTCCGGAACTGCAAATGGCAAGAGTCGAATTCTTGCACTACTTCCCGTGACGTGCTTTGGAAATCTTAGATGTTGAGGCTAACTTAATTCTTAATGCTGCACTCCATTCTAACCTCCTTCCTTCATTTTCTTTTAATTTTTTTACTGGTTTCACTCTAAATTTGCTCTTAAATTATTTGAAATATTATAAAAAGGTACTTTTAGGGAAGACAACATAAAAAAATTTGTTGTTGCATTCATTTAGGGCGAATTCTTCATTACAACAATTTGTTTTGACATTTAATGGTGCCGCCAGCTGGGCTGATGCGATTACCTAGTACATCTACCTTGGCATAGACTAATGAATATATAGACTAATTGAAGACTTGACTTGAAGAACATTTAACACATGGTAAAATTAAGAAAGTAAAGACATTTCAAATAAGCATTTCCATATCTGTATTTTTTTGTAGATTACCTTGTCACATTTCACAGCATAGACAGAAGGTTCCCATTTCTGATTTGTGAATGTACAATGGATTTATAAATATACATTTTGACAAAGAGATGTCAAATAAATAGTTTCGAAAAAAATGTAAACATATAATTCTAGCACGATTTAATATTTATATTTTAATTTTTTTATTTTCTTGGCTTAATATATCATCTTTATTTGTTTATGTATGTGTTTTCTGTGCAATAACATGGATGCATCCATGGTACAATGAAGAGAAGGTAGGTCAACTTTGAAAAAATTGCAAGTATTGAGGTCTACCTGTTTGGCTTGTAATGTCAGAATTAGTATCAAAATAATTAAAAATAAACAACTTGTTGCATTTATTTTGAAAAAATAATTGAAAACCGCGATAGTCGAATGAAAGGTCAACACTTCTTTTCAAAATCATGTACTATATATCTCTAAAGGATTATTTCGCTACAAAAACTCTAAATTTTGTCGATGCATACGTTGAAATAAACATTTTGAAAACACCCGAATTTGAATGTTTTCTGAACAATTTTTTTTGTTATTGCAAAGAAAACACATACATAAACAAATAAAGATGATATATTAAGCCAAGAAAATAAAAAAATTAAAATCATATGGTAGTTCTGCCCTACCTTGATATCATTGTACCATGGATGCATCAACGCTTGGGAACATTGATATGCCAATTGTTTTTTTCAAAAACGAGTAGATTTTTCTTATACGACACCAACAGGAGGTTTTTAGGATATGCATTTCTCAACAATTTTTACAAATTTGAATAATTTTTCATTCAAAATTGGTTTGGCAGTTCATTGTGTCGATGTGACTACCTGTTTGAACCCTTTTTATGGCATTTTCCATCACTTTCGCTAAAACTTACGGCGATAGGTCCTCACATTCCTTACGGATATTGTCTTTAAGAGTTGAAAGAGTCTGAGGTTTGTTGACAGAAACCCGCTACTTTAAAAAGCCCTACAAACAGAAGTCTGAAGCGGTGAAATCAGGCGATCTTGCTGGCCAGTGCAAGACGCCAAAGCGGTGCCGTTGCACCGTCCTGTTCGAACAGGATGTTTTCCAATCCCAACTCATCAAGTTTCGGCAAAAAGAAGTCGTTGATATCTGCTTTGTAGTGCTCGCCAACAGTAACCGTTTGGCCTGCGATGTAAATTTTGCCTTTTTACGTGAGGAAAAATCCTCTTCTTCTTGGTTTTGATTGAGGATGGCTTGAGCGTATGTTAGACGCAATTGACGGTCAGCAGCTAACAGCTGATGCACTGTAGGGACTTTTTTTGATTGAGGATGGCTTGAGCGTATGTTAGACGCGATTGACGGTCAGCAGCTAACAGCTGATGCACCATCGGGACTTTTTTACGAGAACATCTTCAAATCTTGTACCAAAATTCGTCCTAAAGGCCGTCGACTAATACCCATTTGCGTGGCACATCGTCTGGTCGATGTCAACGACGACAGAACGGATAGCCCGGGGTCTGTCATGCCAGGCAGCATATTTTGTTGTGCCTGTCTTTCCGAGGCTAGCGGCTAAACGTAGCATTGTTTCACCAGTAGGCGTTGAACGGCCAAAAAACTGTGACGAAATTTACGTTGTGCCAAAGTCACCGAACGATTACTTTTGCGCCATATGTTATATACCTTATGGCGTGTTATAAACGGAATGGCAAATTTAAAATAACCCCCTTAAAGAGGTGGAGGATATAAACATATGCATCAAAAATTATGATAATAAAAGTGACAGCACATATGTAAACCACTTGTCGTATGAGATCAGCTTTAAATAAATGATTTTGACAGATTTGGTATTCACACCAAACTTTGTCAGTTACCATGGTAAAATTAGGAAGGTAAAATCATTCCAAATAAGCATTTCCATCTCTGGATTTTCTGTAATTTACCTTGTCAAATTTTACTGAATAAAAACAGGTTCCCATTTCTGATTTCTGTGAATACAACAGATTTATAAATTTTGACAATTAGATGTTGTCAAATAAATAATTTTAAAAAAATTTTAAACATATGGTTGCTTGACGTTACCTTCTTAATTCTGCCATGTCAGTTACCTTTAAAAATAAAATTTTAATTGAAAATGAAAATGAAAAGGTTAATTTCGAATTTGAAAACATGAGACCGTGCTAATTTTCCAATACAAGTGACGCTGGTGAAAATGGACCTATTTATTGTTTCCAAATCCAAAAAAGACCCCATAAAATGGTCTTAAGTTTCAACTGTTATGAAATTATACGATTATACCCATAATATAATAAGGTGGTAGAACAGCCTCATAGAACTAGAGAAATACAGCCCTGAGGCTATGTCCGCTTTCTGTCTAAATTATTGGAAATTATATGCAAAAAGTATTCATTTATTTGGTATTTGTCCTTATTTTTAAATTGTATTAAATAGCGCGAAAGATTGAAAGATTGTGCCATGAAAATAAATGAACTCATTTTTCGATCTTTAGAGCCCTGGTAATGGCGTTTTTGTTTTGATTTTTAACTTTTATCACTCATTATTGTTTTGTTCTCTGATTTCGTAATTCCACAGAAAGTAGTGTGAGGGAGCAGCAGCGTGCATCCAATTTAAAACTATTTTTTTGCAAAATAATGAATTAAATAATATTTAACAAATAAACAAATAGTAAAAATATGTTTCCTAGGCAAATATTTAGAAGTATTTTAACAACAAATCTACTCTTTTCACAACGAACAACAACAAAACTATGGAAGCATGTGACTGCAGCGAGAAGTCTTCATTTGATGCCTTCAAACTTTGCCAAAATTTACATGGACCGGGAGAATTTACATGCCCATCAAGTGCTGGAGGAATCATTGAAACCCTATCAAATATTTGCCACTGACATTGCCTTTAGTGTGGATGATCTCTCGTCATCTGAACTCCAAGAAATTGTGAAATGTCTACCAGAAAATTTCAGTACCACAGAAGTTTTCCAACAATTCCGCAGGGTATGTCACTACTGCCATAAGACCAATACCTTGATATCGAATGAAGCATTCACGGCATTTGTACAACAATTCTGCGATCGTATTCATTTGCTAAGCGATGATGAGTTGAGGGAGTCCCTTAAAGGCATGGCCCTGCTGCCTCAAGAGGAGAATGTTCGAGCACATAATTTTGTGGAGCTTTGGAATATCTTGGATATCGAATGTTGTCGCCGAATAGAAAAGTGGTCTACGGATGAGCTTTTGTTGGTGTGTGATGCCTGGTATGCCTTGAATTTGGCACGCATCTGTGAATATGTTTGGGAAGCGTTACGTAAATTAGGTCGTAAAGTTATAAAAATGCAGCCATCGCAACTGGTCCAGACCATGTTCTTTTGTAATGTGATGCGCCGCACTGTTTTCGATATGTTTGATTTTGAAGTTAATTTGGCCAAGTGTGCCAAGGATATGAGCCTGGGAGAGTTGGGTGTTATGTCAATGGGATTTTTTAAGACCCAAACACCGATTCGAAATCCTGAACTCATTAATTATATGTATGAGAGATTAATGAGCGAATTGGACACAGTTGATGAAATAACATTTGTGGCAATACTGAAGGTGGGTACACTGTTTTCCAGCTGAGATTAGTTATTTCCAATTTAATGTTTTCTATTTTAGGTCCTGCGTTATAGCTCCAAGCTGCCTCAAGTTGATATAATGATGAAATTACTGGATAAAATTAGCCAGGAAAAGTTTGATGATATGAATTTATTGACCTGTCTACACGTTGCCCTGCTTGGCTGTGAGCTGCAATGTTGTCACGAAGAAATCGTGGAGAAAATTCTGAATAAGTTTCACAATGAAATAGCCAATACTCGTCTTAAAGATCTGGAACGAATCTCCCTTGCAGTGGCTTTATTTAATATTAAAACTCCCAACAAAATTGAGGACTTGTTGTGTCAGAGAATTTTAGATTCTCTCAAGGGACGTGTTGATGAAATCATGAAACATCCCAAATGTTTTACAAATTGTCTGCACTATCTCAGCTTGAGAGGATTTTACGATAAGGAAATGTTATCTGTGGCCCTTGATAGGAAATTTTTAAAACATGCCGTTGGCTCAAGTCTAGCCGTAAGTAGGGAAGTTTTTAATTTGGACACATTTGTTAAAGTGAATCTGGCGGATGATAATTATGAAGGAAATCAATTGGCCGATAAATATCGCAAGACAATGGGTAAAATGTTGACACATTATATACCTGATAATAATCCCAAATACAAACTGAATGCAACCGATCGAATTTTGTTGCAAATGAAGGAGATAACAGCTGGTTTCTTGCCACATTGTCAATTGAAACATATCTTACCAAATTACGAAAGGGCTGATGTGGTTATATGCTATGATCGGTCGACACGTAAATCGATACCTCTGGCTGAGACATGTCCGGAAGATTATAGTGGTAAGTCGAATAATTTGACTCGGGGTAAAATTGTCTACATTTCTATAATTTTAGGCATTGTGTTGACGCGGGACCGACTTTTAGGCGATAAACTGAATAAGGATATTGAAACGGTTGCCCTGATAATTGCTGGTTGGAACAATGTGGTAAGGGGCAAGGACAGACATACTGGATTGTTTGACATGAAATTGAAACAGTTGGAAATATTGGGACACAAATCTGTGGTGGTAAGTGTGGATATATTGTAAGCGCTTACTTTAAGATAAGTAAAGGTATAATTTAATATGCAAAATATATTCTTTACATATACCCATATCAATGAATTGAACAGACCGGTGACTATATAGGTGGATAGTTAGGCGGCCTTGAAGGCTCTTAATTCTGTTACAATCAAATCTGTGACTGTTCTGGAATTTTGTTGGGTCCCTAATCATTGTAACATATCTGGCAATGAATTAGCAGATGAATTGGCCAGAAGCGGATCCGAGTCAGTAAGTCTAGAGATCGACAGCTCAGTGAAGTCACCGTTATGCCACTTTTTCCAAGTTTGTTGTAATCACGCTTGAGAATTAAGATGGAAGCTAACATTTTGCACAGATCAGGTCAAGTTTGAAGATGGGCTATATCCACGATATCGTAGGGCCCTCATATAACCGTACCTCCCTATATTCGGTATTTTGGTGGTTGTTGCCAATTTTTTCAATGGAATTGCCTGAGAATCCACACCAGGAGTTGCTTCTGAGTTCTTCTCCCCCTGAAAGAGAATTGCTTATATAGGTCCACGATATCGTAAACTCCCCCTATAACAGTACCTCTCGATATTCGGTATTTCGATTATTGTAGCCACATTTTTAAATGGAATTGTCCGAAATTCCACACCAGGAATTGCTTCTGAGTACTTCACCCCTGAAAGGTACCTCCCCATGTAACGGTACCTCCCGATATTCGCTATATATATATATGATTTTAGCTACATTTTTAAATGGAATTGTCTCAAAATCCACACACGGAGTTCCTTCTGAGTACTTTACCACCAGGAAGAGAATTGTCTATATATTCACGATATCGTATATTCCCCCTATAACGGTAGCTCTCAAAATTGGGTATTTTGATGATTATAGCCACATTTTTAATGGAATCCACACAAGGAGTCCCTTTACTCCCTAGAAGAGAATTGTCTATTTAGGTCCACAATATCGTATATCCCCCATATAACGGTACCTCCCTATATTCGGTATTCGGCTTATGACAAAAAATTACTTATGCAGGTCCACGTCTTCCTATATCCCCTACGTAATGGTTTTCATTTAAGTGTGTTTTTTGAAATTATTCAAGATCCTTCAAAATGGTGGAGGGTATTAAAAGGGTTCGGAGGGATTGTTCGGCCCGGGCGAACTTAGCTGCCTTTTTACTTGCGATGAACGATGAACGCAATGGACCAGCAGGTCACCGAGTGGAGTTGTTATTCAAACAACCACGCATTAAATCTATACACCTATAAGATTTACGGTTAGATCACAAATTTTTATTATAATAAATAGACATGCTTCGACAACCCATTTCTCTTCAGGCAAAAATAACTTGAAGTAATTATTCGTAAATGTTTTATTTCCCACTCCCAAAAGATTGAAGACTAGGGAAGTAGTGGATAGAAGTGTGTACCTATGAGGTACTAGCTACAGCACAATTACATCTCAACGAAAAATCTCTAAAATAAATGCAGGTTCTTCTCCTGATAGTCAGGAAGATTTAGGCTCGACGGCTTAGTCGAAACATGAGAAAGCTGTGAAGAATTCAAATCCTATATCCGACAACAATTGACCTAAAAACGGAAGAATAACGGTTATTTGTTTGTCATAGCCAAAGCAACTAAAATTCTGGTACCATACACAAGTTTAGCAAATCTCTTACATTGGAAATTTTATGTTGCAATTCTGATTTGGATATTTGACATTTTCTAAATGCCTGTTTCTTTTTATTTTTCTTTCAGATATATTGGCATGAATGGCGTGAGCTAGAAACTCGCCAAGATCGTGTAAAATTTGTTAAAAGACGTCTATCTTCTGTTATTAATTTATAAGTAAGTTTTGTAACACAACCACAACTTATTTGAATAACCTAAAAAATACATTGCATTCTCGTTTAATTTTCATTCAGAGTCTTTTTCGTGTATTCATAGACAAGGAATAGTGTGGCAGTAGCTGGTATTGTACGCAAAATTGAGGGGAGTACACCATTGTAAAGCGCAAAAAATCCTTCTGTGCGTACAATTTCCAATCCCACAGAGGTCATTGAACGCTTAAGATTATTCACTTGTATACGGGATTTAATTACATCAGCCGGGAACGTGCTAACCCATAATATAATACCACTTACTGCACCGGCAAACATTGTTTTCAGTGCGCCAATTTCTTCCTTGGTTTGATGAGGCCTGCGACAATAAGCAAAAAAAAATGGATTATTCGAAATTAATGTAAAATGAAATAAAAAGAAAAAACATACTTCCTTAGGAGCTCACGTGTTCCTTCATAAGCGCCAAAGAAGCAGAAATAGCCGGGCATTTCTCGCACAAATGTCGACGTGAGGCCACGAAAGAATCCAGGTATACCTGCAAAAAACATACATAATGAAAAAAAATTTGATATATTTTAATTTAAAGGAATGCTTGCAACCTATACTGAATGTCTCTACTAAAACAATGGATAGTTTTTGTGAAGAGCTTAATCTAACATTCGGGATAAGAAAAAATACGCTTCATGCAGTAGTTAAGATTACACTTCGAGGAAGATCGTGGAAATTTAAAAACTTGGAAACACTGAATGTCTTTAAAACTATGACTGGTATTCTTTAAATTCTAATATGAGGATATATCAAATTACCACCTTTGTTTTCACTCCTATAAAAAATGTGAAGATTTCAAAACAAATTTCCAATTTTTACTTTTTCCATGCTTCGTTACTTTTTAAATATTTATAAACAAAGACAAAAAAGTTGATTTTCAAAATGACTCGCTAGGAAAATTCCTCAGCAATGCTAACATTTTTAAAAATATCTCATTCCGAGTTTAGTTCAGAAAGCAACAGCCAGGTTAGATTAAAGGTTGTGCTGTTACCTTATAACAGCCACTTCACTCGGAGACCTGCTGGCCCATTATGTTCATCCTCAAGTTCAAGAAAAAAAGAAAGAGAACTACAGAAGTACAAATGATAGATAGAAATTATGTGTGATCCACGAAGAGATTTATCTGTCCCCTTTAGCGTCCTGGCTAACTGAAGAATAACTGCTGGCTCAGATTCTGATAATGACAATTTTCTTAGAGCCTTTGCATCCGCTTTCATTTAGCCAGTTTTATTAAAATCTCTCAGAATAATGTTTACTATCTCGAAGTAATGTCCCCTCGGAAGAATTGACACAAGGGTGGCTTCACCAAGTTCTCGAACGCCTGATCGATTGACTCGGATAAACGTGTCGTCTTTAGCTACTTAAATATTCTGGCTAATTGAGGAATAACTGCTGGCTAATTTTCTGAGAATGAAAATGAATGTCTATCACTGAAAAGAGTTGGACAAAGGCAAAGTAAGGGTTCCGTCTTGAAAAAGTCTGCAGTACTCAGTGTTGTCATCACACCACTAAGAAGTCATGACACTTATGTTACAGTGAGCTGTTATAAATCCCACCACAAGTTTTAGGTCTGAGCGACCTTGACCTCTTCTCGGAGAGCATCGGTCAAATTACCCTTCCGTTTGTTTAGTTTTGTTGAAATCTCCCGGAATGTTTATGTATCACTCGGAAGAAGTGGTATAAGGGTAGCTCCACCTAGTTCTCGATTTCCAGATCGATTGACATGTCATCTTTAGCCACTGTTGCCTTTTGTCTAACTGAAGAATGACTGCCTGCTCAGTTTCTGAGAATGAAAATCAAAATCAAAACGTGCAGAATTTGCTTCTTGATAAGCCTATGACTAACACCGAAAAACACCACAAGTTGTAGGTCTGATTTCGCCATGGCTATGAGTGACCTTGATTTCTTCTCAGAGAGCACAAGCCAATTTTTTTAGAGCCATTGCATCCCTTTCCCTTTAGCGAGTTTTGTTATAAGTGGCAAAAGTGTAGCTTTACCGAGTATTCGATCTTCAGATCGATAGACACGTGTCGTCTTTAGCCACTTTAGCCTTCTGGATAACTGAAGAATAACTGCTGGTTCAGTTTCTGAGAATGAATGTGTAATGTAACACCGAAAAGAGTAGGACTATGGCAGAATAAGTGCTCTACCGTTTCAATTCTTCTTCTTCTTGACAAAGCCTGCAGTAATCGTTGTTGTCGTAACCCCACTTAGATGTTAAGGCCTGTGATTAATAGCACCAAAGTCGCTCAGACATAGACTTTGATCTCTTCTCAGAGAGCATTGGTCATAATTTTTAGAGCCATTGCATACCCTTCAATTTAATCTCTTTTTTTTTGAAGTCTCCCTGAGTATTGTTTATATATCATTCGGACGAAATGGCACAAGGATATCTTCACGAGTTCTCGATTTACAGATCGATTGACACGGATCCAAGTCTTAACAATTTATAGAGGTGTTGCAATGACCTTGAACCAAAAAAATCTTGTTGGACGACTTAACTTTTTCCAGTCCATTCCCATAATGCAAAACTGCCATAGATTTAATGGTATGCGAATTTAGTGCTTTTAGGACTGTATGATTATCGACACATATAGCCAGTGCAGTTTACTGTTTCTGTTTGCCAACGGATCTATGGCTTCTTTGAAAACACAGATTTCTGCCTGATTTCTCTTAAGTTGTCAAACATTTAATACAATAATATTACCTTCCGTAGCCATAATGTGTTTAGTCAATTTCCATGGTGTTATGGGCAAATGAGCACAACTCTTTGGATTGTGTAGGCGCATCTAAAATAGAAAAAGGAAAAATATTAAGACTTAAGGCTAATCATACATGATTTCAGTCCTACCTCCCTCAATGCCTGTAGTTTACATTTAACCAATTCCGTTGGACAAAGGGTAAACGTCGAGAAGAATGCTGCCAAAAAACCGGAAAAGGCATGACCCAGTGTAGGCATATCCTTCACATCTTCTATATTCATGGCATAAGCAACAACTTTTTGACAACCACCAAAGGCAGCAAATAGTACGGAATTTTCGGCAACACTTGCCACCACAGCCGGAACAGAACCGGCATACAGTCCACGAAAGATGCCATCGGTGCGATAGGTTTTTACGAAGCAATCTATCATGTTTTTGTACATTTGTGGAAAAGACTGCTGTTTTACTTTTACCGTGTCCATTGGTTGCGAGACATAAATCTGGGCTGCACCACCTGCAAAATAATGAGATATTAAAGTCAAACGCCAACGATTGGAGACTATATTAATTTGGTAGTCCTCTGACAGCTAATTTTTTCTGCCATGAGCTCTTGTAACATTGTGGTAACCCAAAATAGAGATTCAAAATTAAAGACGTTTTTGCTTTTTAGTAATTTCTTGACTTTGAGGAGCTACCTCATAACTTAGCTCATGTCTGATATTTTTTATTACCTCAAAATAGTGTTACGATATCTTGCCCTAACAAGCTGTCACATATCAAGACAATGTCAAACACAAATGAGCCTCAATAAACCAACTTCATCCAAATATCTTAATCAGTACCTTATCGGGGGAAATCAAACATTCCAGTTGTACAAACAAAAACAATGCACCAAGCTCTCACACTTACCCAATGATCCAGCCGTAAAATCAATAAAGCCATTTCTAAATTTTCCATCTGGAGACGAAAGTTTTTGATCTGTTGCAAATAATAATTAATTAAAATAAAATAAATGCAAAATAAGTGTAGTAAACAAATGTAAACATACCCAACATGGCTGTCAGTTATTATCCACCTTTTCTTTGTTAGTTAAATAAAAATTTATGAATATTATTATTTACAATAATACATCGCCGTTATTAATAACAACAACAACAGCGGCGACAACAAGCTTTAATCCAAAACTGCAATATTTACACAACTACATTTGGGAAAACGCAACTTCAACCGAACACCATTGCAAGACAACTGATCAATGAACCGATCGTGAATATCTCGAAAAGCCCTATAAACAAAATGTTATATTCGTTCTCTTATTTGTTGATCGATGTGCTGACGGTGTCGGAAGTTCTCTTGAATTGAGTTTCAACTTTTATCAATGAGATTGCGTCATATAAACCAGCAGGTTGTTATGTTGTTGCTAGTATTTATAACAAAGTTTTATTCTGCCTCAACATAATCTCTGTGAACTAAGAGAGTATTGATCTGGTATCGGTACTGCAGCATATGTGACTTCTCAGTGGGAGAAAGTCTGAAAGAAAGAGTTAGTCAATTAAAATTTAGTTAAAAACATCTCTCTGGATTTTAATAAGTGTTCTGTTTCTGTATGTGGATACGAAATTGAATGCGTAAGAAAAACACTGGCCGCAGACATTTTGAGGATCTGGGGAGAGTTCCAGTAATCATAAAAAGGTGAGTCGAAGTTTGACGATCCACAATTATTGTCCATCAAGTTCTGTTGGGTTCCTGGTTCCTGGCTAGACGAATGGGAATTGAAACATTTCCAAAAGAATCTGGAGAAAAGAACAAAGTCACTACTGTCCTTGTCGAAACCTGACTTAAAACTTACTTAAAAGTGAAATGGGAAAGCGCTGATATTGACTACTGCAGAGTCTGCCAAGACGAAGAAGAAATTGAGACGATCGAACATTTGTTCTGCCACTGTCCAGCATGCATTAACGTGAGACACAGGTTGGTGGGGGACAAATGATTTGTCTTCGTTCTCTAACACTGATCCTACAGTTATTCTTCAATTATCCAAAAGACTTAACTGTCTAAAGACGACACGGCAAGATTTCTAGCTGTGGATCACCCTTATATCCTATCAATAGTACCTTCACTTTTTCCACTATTCTTTCTTTCTTTCAATTTCTTATTAGGATGAACACAATGGATCAGCAGGTCTCCGAGTGGAGCGGTTACCAAAAGACAACCGCGCATCCTTTAACCTAACCAGTAGTGGAATTCTCGAACATAACGAAAATATTTGCAGACAAAAACCAAGGGAAGTGATTGGGATTGGTGGTTCTTTTCAAAACCTTGGTATTCCCTGCCTTTTCCCCTGGTAAACATTTCCATTTTTACACCCTCCACCATACTATGGAAGGTATATTTGTCATTCCGTTTGTAACTCCTCGAAATGCTCATTTAGACCCAACAAAATGTATATATTCTTGATCAGCGACTTAGAAAATGTCTGTCCGATCAAATCAGTCTATCATTGGAACGAATTGAGATAGAAGGCTACTTTTTACACATACGCGTATTTTTGTCAGCAGGCGGGTTAAGTTTGTATATCGCCCATGTAACAGTACCTCCCTATATACTGTATTTTTATGATTTTAGCGACATATTTTAAAAGAATTGTTTAAAAATTCGATTTTTGGAGCCCGTAATGGGTTCTACCGCCTATGACAAAAAATTACTTATGAAGGAAAACGTCTTCGTATAGGACCCATATAAGGGGTTTCATTTGAAAGATATTTTTTACGGAATTTTGTTGAAGTTTTTCAATTTCCCTCAAAATGGCGGAGGGTATTAAAAACTTCGGCTCGGCCGAACTTAACTGCTTTTTTACTTGTTTTGCAATAATCCTACCTAAACGTAGTGTATAATTGTGGAATCTTCACATTAAAAAAAATTCTTGTATTCTCCAACATAAATTCCCCATAAATAGCCCTGATTTTCGGGGCTTTAGCCTCAATTATCAACATAAACAGCTGCAAGTTCATATTTCGGGTTCCTCTTTTTGCTAAGGTCACCTCCTGATATTTGATATTTCCAACCAAACTATTCAGGGTTTGTAACTCCTCGGATTATAATTGTTAGACCCGACAAAGTAAATACATTCTTGATCAGCATAATATTCTATTTCGTTTTAGCCATATTCGTCCGTCTGTGTAAATCGCTCTAGCTTCCGTATAAATTTTGGTATTGAAAATAAGCGATGTAGGTCCACATTCATGCGGCCCTAGCTATAATGTGCCCTTAAAGCTATTAAGTCAAGTGCCTTTAAATCGAGAGCCACTCTTGACTGCAAAAAATACCTCATTGAAATACGTGATTGAATTAAGCTTTAGTAGGTTCCAGGACATAGCAACATAATGGGGAATGAGGTGGCTGATGAGTTAACTCGAGGAGGTTCCCAGCCGATTGATCTTCCACCAATAAGCTATTATGTCAGCTGCTTCAAAAAATCTCTCATCAAAAAAACTGGAAGAAGGGGGCAATTAGAGACCTTAAGATGGGATAACAGTCTTCCTGACTGCTTTAGACTATGTGAAGATGAAGAAGAGATAGTTTGAACATATACTATGCAGATGCCCAAGGAGATATAGGCTATTTGATATGTGGGAAATCCAAACCTCAACATAGATCCAACCATCATCTATAAGTTTGCCAAAAACATTTCATGGCTAAGCGGACAACTCTGCTAACTGTACTTCTATCTATAAACCCTTCCTTCCCCTTCTCTGTCTCTCCTATAACCATAAAATTTATTCCTCCTAAGATGAACGTAATGGACCAACGGTCTCTGAGTAAGCAGTTGTGAAGCACTCATGCGCATATTTAAACCAAACCAAACATGGTCCACATTTTGATATGGCCCCATATAACTCTACCGCCTGATTTAAGGAGTTTTGGCTGTTCTAATCATATTTTTGACCAGAACTTGTGGTAAATTGGTTGTTTGTGTTTCCCATACCTAGGAAATATCTTTGCCAAGAACTCTACATTTAGGTTCAAGTTTATATTTGATATTTGGAGTTCGTAATGGATACTACGTCCATTGATCCAAAATTGTTTATACAGATGACGGTACTTCCCTATATCGGGTATTTTGATGATTTTAGTTACAAAATTGTATCTTGACTTGGTGTTTGGGTTCGTAATAAGCACTTCCTTCTCTTGCTATAGAGCTCCAAGTTTTCTCATAGCCTCATGTAAATGTAACCCCCGATTTTCGAAATTTTAAAAATTTTAGCGGTATTTTCAATGGCATTTTTACATTTTAGGAGTTGCTTCCAAAAGATCCGCCCGGCCCAAATTAGCTGCTTTTTCACTTGGTTTAAATTGTGAATTTAAGACAAAATATCAAACATTTTCAAAACTCATTTGAAATTGAATTTGTTTACATTCACCTTTGTAACGTCACAGAGAAGCAGGCTCGAGTTCTTAGTTGTAAGTTTAACTTCCCTCAAATATTTACAATTTAGGAATAGCTCCCATATCCCCATCCATGGTAGACGGACTCAACAAATATTGTTAAATATCTAAATAATTTTCTAATTTTAAATCAATTTTTACAGGTGAATAAATATGGAGACTAATGGAGACAAGAAGCTAGAAAAAATCTAATTTTTATAAATTCTATTAAAATACCTGTATCTTCTTTTTATTAACTATATAGCAATTGTATAAAAAAAAACAAAACATGTACAATAACAAGATACACCTAAAAGAACTAAATAAAACCATTGTTTTGCTTTCGAGGTCACAGAATTTCATTCAGAGTCTTTTTCGTGTATTCATAGACAAGGAATAGAGTGGCAGTAGCTGGTATTGTACGTAACACTGACGGCAACAGACCATTGTACAAAGCCAAAAATCCTTCTTTGCGTATGATTTCCAAACCCACTGACGTCATTGAACGTTTCAGATTGTTCACTTGGATGCGTGATTTAATGACATCGGCTGGGAAAATGCTGGTCCATAATGTAACACCACCCACGGCGCCGGCAAACATCGTTTTCAAGGCACCAATCTCCTCTTTGGTTTGATCCGGCCTGGGGAAAGTTAAAAAATATTGGATTAATTGAAGTAAAATGAAAAGAAAAATAACTTACTTCCTAAGCAGTTCTCTTGTTCCCTCATAGCCTCCAAAGAAGAAGAAGTAGCCCGGCATTTCACGCATAAATGTCGATGTAAGGCCTCGGAAGAAACCGGGTATACCTGCAAAAGATGAAAACATTAAAAATGTACATAAAAGTAGTTTGTGGGAACCATATCCTCCAACTAATAACTAAGGGAACACGTAATGAAATTTTGGATTGCAATTTTATACTGACAAGAATTTGAAACATTTTATCTCTTTTGCAGAAGAAGGCAAAGTGAGCAAAACAAAAATCTATGCGCCACATAGCGGACAACTACTTTAGTGATAAAGGAGACAATTTAACAACCGGAACAGTATGATTATATGGCTAGAGGGTATATCATTTGATACGGCCAAAACATGCCTCATCGAATAACGGTTTTAGACCCTAAATCTCTTTGGACCAAATCCGTTTCAGGACATTTGGAGTCGATCTAGCGATATCCGTCCGTCCGTCTGGCTGGTGCACACGATAACTCTTGAAGGGAGTATTCGATCCGATCCAAACTTGGTACATCGTAATATTATTTTTAAACTTAGATCGAGTTCAAAGATGGGCAATATCGGTCCACTTCTTCCGGTACCTCCCCCACAAACCAAAAAATTTACTGCACAGGAAGTAAAAGTATAATCCGATTTTGCCCCCACTTTGCGAATCCTAATATTTTCATCAGTGCTAGGTCAGGTGCGAATATGGACAATATCGGTCCACTCCATCAAGTACCTCCCCCACAAAGGGTCAAAATTTTGAATATTTATTACTCTTATAAAATGTGATATGAGTTTCCGATTGTCTTCAAATTACACACATCCCAATACTTTTACTAACCCAATATCTGGTTTGAAGATAGAATATATCGGTCCACTCCTTCTGGCACCTCCCCACAAAGGGTAAGAGTTGAATAACCAAAGCGATTATAAAATCCGAAATAAGCATCCGGATCTCTTCATATTACACACATTACAATATTTTTATTAACCCAAGTGGTGTGAAGTAGAATATATTGGTCTACTCATTCTGGAACCTCCCCCACAAAGGGTCAATTTTGTATAACCATGAAGCACATAAAACACGAACACATAAAGATGGTAGAGATCGGACCATTCCTTCTGGTACCTCCCCCACATAGGGTTCAAAGACTTGGAAAAACAAAACGTTCAAAGAAAGCCAACCCCATCTGGTTCCTCACCCACAAAGGGTCACAATTTCCAATATTTATATCTGTCATAACTTGCGAAACAACATATGAGAGGAATAATATTATGATTTCCCATAAAAGTGGATATAAATGTTCGATTACCTTCAAATTTTGCACATACCAATATTTTGTATTAGATGAAATTAGAAAATGGAATACTTCGGTCCGCTATATCTGGTACCTCACCAATATTTCCATATTTTTCAAAACTTTCCACATATCTCATACAAAGTATAGGAAGTAGTCGATATAGTCCAAATCTGGCACGTTGGCATATTTATATCAGTCTTAGGTCAGATACGAATTGGTCAATATTGGCCAACTGCTTAGGAACCTCTCCCATAAAGGGTCAACAGTTTAAATAATCATAACTCAAAGCTGGGGGCATTCATCTGTCGGAAAAACTGACTGATACTATTTTACTCCAATGCCCCTTTACTTAAACACAATTTTTGTTTCTCTTTACAGATATTTCCTCCAAAGACGATCACAACGGCCCGGAAGGCCAGAGAGTGGATTTGGATACCATTTAAAAAAATGAAATCTGTTGTCAAGTATTTAGAACAAGTTTCTCATTGACGATACAAAAGTGAATGTGAAAGAAAACAAAAGTCTCTTATTTTTTAGAGTTATGAATTCTGCATATCCTTTCTCTTCCGAGTTTTTCCCATGTATTATTAAAAAATCATCGGTCTTCTTTTACGTAAATACAAGTGGCATGCTAATCGGTCACCCTTATTGCTAATGGGGGGCTCTAGACACACCTACCAAATCTGTTGTGCATTTTTTCTATAACTGACTCGTCATATCTAATCTGAAGATGTTTGGTTTTTTTGTTGTATTTACTGATACTAAATCACTTTGCAAACACCAGGTAATCTAAAACATTTGTTTTTAAATAGATTTAGCAAAAAATAAAATACAATAACCTTACCTTCAGTGGCCATGATATGTTTTGTTAATTTCCATGGGGTTATTGGCAAATTATTGCCGCCTTTGGGATTGTGTTGTTGCATCTAAAAGACAAATTCGAAAAATTAACCGAATTTCCAATTCTTCTTCAAAATCATCCCTCTTACCTCTCTCAATGCCTGCAGTTTACATTTAACCAACTCCGTTGGACATAAAGTGAACGTGGAAAAGAATGCTGCCAAAAATCCAGCAAATGCATGACCTACTGTTGGCATATCCTTTACCTCTTCTACATTCATACCATAGGCAACGACTTTTTGACAACCACCATAGGCAGCAAATAAAACAGAATTCTCAGCAACATTTGCAATGACAGCTGGAACTGAACCTGCATACAGTCCGCGAAAGATACCATCTGTACGATAGGTTTTCACAAAACAATCTACCATATTTTTGTACATTTGTGGGAATGATTGTTGTTTCACTTTGACCGTGTCCAAGGGTTGGGAGACATAAACCTGCATTGCACCGCCTGAAAAAAAGAAGAGCAAATGATAATTAATACTGGATCAAACACTATAAAATTTAAATATTCTGACAATTAAAATTTTAAGCTAGGATTTTGATTCGGTTAAAAATATAAATTCAATGAGAGCCCCAAATACCAAATCATAGCTGATTCCATTAGAAAACGATTTCCAAATTCAATCACTGGATAATTTAAAAGGCTGATTGATTGGAAAGAACTATTGCAGGAGACTGCAAGAAGAAATTTTGAAGAAAAAACTCTCGGTTAAGGAACTGCCGAACTTTCGCAGACTATTGGTTACCATTTTTTTTAGGGTAAACAGACACACCTATAGTTGATAAGTTTTTTACAGAAAATTCCAATATAAATGTATATTTCCTACTAAATGTATATTTCTGCTAAATATTGGTCTGTTCTAGAACTACAAGAATGAAATAAGAAATTGCAAAACTAGTAGATTCAAGATTTTGGATCATATAGTCGGTTTCGCCTGACTTTTGTGCTTTCCATCTTACTGGTTTTGTTATATTTTGTTACAAATTTTAAGAATTCTTATCTCGTTTCAATTTTAACACCCTGGACCATAGTATGGAGGGTACACCTCGAAATATAAATTTTAGCATAAAATTCTATGACAATTTTTCAATGTCCGTCCGTCTGTATTTTTGTTCGTCCGCCTGTGGAAATCACTCTAGCTTTCAAACGAATTTATGTAGGTTGATAAAATGTTATCCAGTTGTACCTTAGGTCCGTTGAACTTTTGGTATTGAAAATGGGGCGTTTTAGTATATCCCCATATAAATATAGCACTGCCAGATTTAAGGTGTTTTCGTTCTTTTGGTCACCATTTTATCCGAAATTTGCCGTAAATTATTTGTTGTTGTAGGAGCCACACATGTATTGTATATTTGAATTCTGCTAATACGGCTCTAACTCCAGGTTAAAAAATTTGGCTACATTTGCAGACTGAAACCCGAAATCTCCTGGAGTGAATGGGTTAGGTTTGGATGGTCTATTAAGGGGGTCCCGCATGGTATGGGGGCTCTTATGGCACGCTGGGCTGATATTCCGCACATCTTCTTCAATTCGTACCCAATGCGAGACGTCTGCACCATCCTGAGCGTAAATGCACCAAAACTACTCTGGTTTGTCTAGGCACCTGATGGACTCCGAACTCGCCATTCATACTGCATTTGTTGTTGTTGTAGCAGTTATACATGCAGATGTTGGAATTCCAGGTTTAAAAATTCGGCTTACTTGATGAGCTGTAATCAGAGATCTTCTTGGGTGAGTTGGGTAGGTTTGACGGTGCAGCCTGTATCACACGCCGGGCAGACGTCACACACATCTTCGTCAATTCGTACCAAATTCGAATTGAGACGACTGCACCATCCTGAACGTAATTGCGCCAAAACTACCCTGGTTTGTCTAAGCAGCTGACGTTCTTCAGCTGCAATGGATGGCGAAGGTGGCATTCATAAAGTAATTGTTGATGTCATCTGTAATTGCATCAGTATGAATGTCACTCAGACCTGCCTGATAGGCCTCTTGATCTAGGGGCTCCTTCTTATAGCGGACCTCCCTCTCTAGATCGTGTATGTCTTTCCGGAAATGTCTGGGTTGGCGAGTTGTATTCAATATATTATGGTTTGGATGACTTTCACGATAACCTGCAAGGAGGAACTTCAACGAAAGCATATATTCTGAGGGTAACATTCTGGCAGGTCTTGATATTCTTCCACTGCGTAGCACTTGCATTTGCCTATAGCTGAGCAAATACCCACATATTGCGTTACAAGATATCACCAAGGTCTCCTTGTCCGCACCCAAGTGCTGTTTTAAGACCTTGTTCCTACTTTTCATTTTATCGCAGATAGCTATGACTGCCGCGGACGACTTGAAAACGTTATCGAATTTGACCCCTAGGATCTTGGGGTAGTTTGTGGTTGGAATTAATTTTCCCTCGACCAGCACATTCAGCTATGTTCTCATCTCCGCAGACCATGTGGTAAAGAGTGTGTCGGTTGATTTCTTGGCGGATATTTTCATATTCCTCGCGTAGAAGTGGCGGCAAGCTCCGATACCGAGATAGGTGTTTAACCTTATACATATGCCACCAACAAAAGGGTACTACAATCATTCGCATAAGCTACAATCTCTATGCCTCCTGGAGGGTGAGGAATTGTTCTGCTTGTTCCGGAATTCTACGGACGATTGGCGTTCACACATATATGTGATTATCCAACGTTTCCAACTTGTTCTAGTTTAATCCAAAGCTGATATGACGTGCCAGGCGGTGGTGAACAGAATCCGTGTTGATGGTTGGCAAGTGGGTAGCTTGCTCTGATGCGAGGGATGGGGAAGTAGAGTCTCAAAATTCTTAGCTACTTGCGACAAAAGCTAATTTGCTGGCATACTTTCCTGGCCTTAGTAGCGGGACCACCCAGCCCATTTTCCAGGCTTCGACTAGTGACAGAACTAACGGCGTATGCAGTTGTTTCAACATTACCATTAAGATTCCGTCCGTGCCCAATGCTTTGGATGACATATGCAACATCACCCATTGTAGACTGCGGTCTCCTCGGCGGGAAGAAATTTGATACCACGTAATACTCTTCGCTCTATGGCGTTAAAAGCTCCCAGGATTCAAGAGAGTGATTTAATCGTTATCCACATCCTATTCTTATCGCTTCCAATGTTGTAGCACTACAGATGGCCTAGCTACTTTTTCCTCTTATGCCCCTGTGCCAACCGCTTGACTTCAGTAGGGCTGGAGCGACGGTGATCATCACGTTCATTTGTTAGTCCCACTGTCTCTGCTGGGCAATTAGGTAGTTTGTATTCATAGTATGTAGGCAATATCCTTCATAGAAATGACCACATATGTCCAAGTTTTGGTATAGTCTCCATGTAACTGTACCGCGAGATATTCAGTATTTTAATGATTTTTTTTCTTAAGTCGGAAAATTTCCTAAGCAGGTCCATATCTTCGTATTGCCCCTATGTGACGGTACCTGCCACACTTTTCACCGGACTTATTTCAATTTTGGAATTCGCAAATGGTACTCCTTCCTATGATAAATCATTTCTCGTGCAGAGCTCATCTGTGTAGACCCCATATAATAGTACCTCAAACTTGGTACGTGTAGTTTGTAATAGTACCGTAAACTTAGCACGTGCAGTTTGTAATAGGCACCACCTTCTCTGACACTGGATGAAGAAGTCCACATTTGCATTTGGGTCCATATAACTACAACACCTGATTTTCGGAATTGTTTAAATTACAGAGGCATTTTTAACGTTTTGTTTTAGAGAAGTTCTTCAAAAGAGACAGGTTCGGGAGAGAACATTTGACAGCTCTTTCCCTGAGAAGTTAATGAATTATTGCCGGACAAATTTCTTTTTGCAAACACTTCCATTTTTTTGTTCTCCTTCCGGTGGTTTATATTTTTGCAAGCAATTTTAAAACGTCGTTATTTTGGATCTCGCAAGCCTACTTTTTTTTGTTTTTATTTTTATGGCGGACAAAAATCAGCTGATTTTTTGAAAGTTTTTGCAGGAATTCAGTCTGTTTACTTTTTACAATTTTCTTGCTAAAGACAATACAACTGCCTTACCCTATCGAAAAGAAGCTGCTGAAAAAGTAAGCAGTCAGATCTATTCCCAGTGAGAATTTGCCAACTGTCATTAACTCAACTACCAAAATCGCTCTATTCGAACATTTTTTAAAAATGTGTACATATTATTGTGTTCTCGTACACACCTAATAATTTCTTTGCACCCTTTCTGAACTGTTCCAGAACCGGCAAGAATCTACTAGTTTTGCAGTTTTTTTTTGCCTTTGAAAAGTTTAGCAAGTTTTTCTTGTACAGCAACATCCAATGATGGTAAAATTAAGAAAGTAGTCGTATCAAAAAAAAAAAAACATTCCCATCTCTGCATTTTCTGTATTTACCTTGCCAAATTTTACTGCATAGAAAACAGATTCCCATCTCTGATTTGTGTATTTTGAATACACATACATTTTGACAATGAGATGTTGTTAAGTGAATAATTTTGAAAAAAAAAATGTATGATTGTTTGGCTATACCTTCTTAATTCTACCATACACACAATGTATTTTGTTTTCAAAAAAATTTGAGAAATTATCTTATTTACAAGTTTGTCCAATTTCGGCTTGGACTAAGTGTATAGTTTTATGATTGTGTTCCGCCAAAAAAATCTATTCCATCATAACAACATGAAATTTTGTTTATCGATACAGGTTGAAAATTGTTATCTGTACAACTTGCCGGGTAATCAAACTAATCTAAATACTCATTTGACATATGAAACTATTAATATGAATATGTTAAGTTCTGAAATGTTTATACTTCGGGAATCATCAGCACATTATCTACAAAATCAAGTGTCAGTCGAGACGACAAAACTCACCAACAACAAAAACAACTTACCCAATGAACCAGCCGTAAAATCGATGAAGCCTTGTCGCAATTTTCCCTCGGAAGCCGGAACATTTTGATCTGTCGAATAGATAGCCAAGATTAAAAACAGAGTTTAAGAAAACAATTGTAAACAACATACCCAACATTGTTGACAGTTTTTCTTTTATTCTTTGTTAATAGAAAATAAATTAAAAACGTATTCTATGTAAATTTTTCTCTACGAATTGCTTTGCCTCAATCCACAATAGCAATAATAACAGCAGCGACACAAATATCAAATCACAATGCCTTGCAATTACATTTGGGTAAACTCGGCGCACAACTCCCCCAGAACACTTTTGGCACACAACTAATCAATGAAATGAACTTGAAAAGACTGGAGAGCTCAATAAACAAAACTGTTTACCGCCAAGATAGAGAGTGGTATTCCACATTGACTTGTGAAAGAGCATGGAGAGTGTCACATTTCTCTAGGCAATTCTGCTCTTTTTTTGGTGTGAGTATTTCTCTTGAATAGAGTTTCCTTTGTTATCAGTAAAATTGCGTCATATGAGCGAACACGTTTTTGGTTTTTTGATCGGTCTCAGATGTTTGTTGGCGAGCGTTATCAGCTAAATTTTTGTTGTGCTTCACAAGAATTCATTGAACTAAGAGAATTACGATTTTCAGACATGGATATTTAATGGGAAAGATTGTAAATTTGTGAATATTCTCGAAGTGTTAAAGAGATAAATATTTTCAGATAAAATCAATCCTTTTGAGCATTATCCGCATTGTTGGTTAATGTTGGGTTTAAGAGTGAGGAAATAGATCTCCTCGTTATACTTTCATTACTCAAAATGTTTGTTCAGCTACAAGGTTAGATAAAAAACTGCAACAAAGTTATAATTTTTACATTTTTTTTTTAAATTTTATTGAATGAAACCAAAAAAATGTTAGAAATAGCATCAAATTTTAGAATAAGTTTAGACTTGTCACCTTTGGCACGAATTATGGCCTTCAAACGGCCAATGAAACCGTCACACGCTAACCGAATGTTGCTCTGCGTTATTTTGGCCCATTCCCGGCGAAGCGCGTGCTTGAAGTGATCGACACTTTGGTATTTTTTAGTGCCAACCTTCCTTTCCATAATACTCCAGACACAATAGTCCACGGATTGTCATTCGGAGATTTTGATGGCTATTGTGCACTGGAAATCAAGCGAGGAACCTCATTTTGTAACCATTCTTGGGTGGCGCATGCTGAGTCCTGTTGGAATGTCCAAGGTTTGCGTGTCCAAGGCTTTAATACACCCTCCAGAATATTTTCGCGATAACATTCGGCATTTATTCTAATGCCACGGTCCGAGCGGACAGCGACCATTGGCTGTTATGGCGGTCCACACCATCACCATGGCGGGCGATTGAGTACTGGTGGCCAACCAAAGGTGCACATTTTCAGCTGACCTCTATGGCAAGTAAACACGATCATTTTGTTTGTTTACAAACTGCTGGACAACGAATGTTTACTCATCGGAGAAAACCGAATCCGACAGTTCACCACTTTCAGCCAAGCGAAGCAACTCTTTAGCTCTTTTGAGTCTATTTTCATTCTCTTGCGGTGTAAGTTCTTGCACTTTTTTGAATTTCAATGGCTTTACCCCGAGCTAATTTTTCAATATTTACCGAATGGAATGTTGCGATATGTTCAGCTCACTAGCCATTTTTCGGCCACTGCGACTAAGTCTCTTCTTTACTTTTCGAACCCTTTCTGCTGATGTTGCTGTTTTCTTCCTTCCACTTCCAGTGTCACGGTAACGAGCAATGGTACGAGACACAAAAGATTTATTCACATTTAAGTGCTGGAGTGCTCTAACGATAGCCACTTGTGGTTTTCCAGACAAAAAGAAATCATACTATCACGCTTGAATTCCATCACGAATAACTTTTTTTCTGGAAAATTCTCACCAAAATGCCTTTGTTCGCTTGTAAACAATATAATGAGCTGTCACTGGAATAATTTTAACAGCTTTCGGACGAGTGGCTTAGAAATGACAGCAGTCCGAATTTGGTTGCGGTTTTTTCATCACACCCTTTATTTATTCTTGATCAGCGTAAAATTCTAAGACGATTTAGTCCTGTCCGTCCGTAAAAGGAATTAAGATATGGAGTTAATATTTTGCACAGATCTGTCTTTTGTCTGCAGGCAGGTAAGTACTAGAATGGGCTATACCGGTCCACGATATCGTATATCCCTCATATAACGGTACCCCCCGATATTCGGTATTTTGATGATTTTAGCCACATTTTTCAATGGAATTGTCAGACACAAGGAGTTATTTATGAGTACTTCACCCCCTGAAAGAGAATTGACTATATAGGTCCACGATATCGTATAGCCCTCATATAACGGCACCTCCCGATATTCGGTATTTTGAAGGTTTTTAGCCCCATTTTTCAATGGAATTGTCTTAAAATCCACAAAAGGATTTTCTTTTGAGTACATTACCCCCTGGAAGAGAATTGCCTATATAGGTCCACGATATCATACATCCCCTATATAACGATATTCGGAATTTGGATGATTTGCGAAAACCGGAATTGTTTCAAATTTCGTATATAAAGTTCGGAATAGTTACTACAAATTACTTATTCGTATAGTCCCCATATAATAGTTTTTATTTGAACGGTATTTTTGGACGGAATTTTTCCACATGGTGGAGGGTAAAAAAAGTTCGGCTCGGTCGAACTTGGCTGCTTTTTACTTTTTAACCCTACAACACCATCGTCCGTTCTTCAAGAAATTTAGCATGGAGTTAGGGTCACAATAGAAGCCTATTACTTTTAAAGATGTTCGCCAAATAAATATATTTAAATCTGTGGCAGATGTGGTTAACCTCGAATTTCTAAATGTTGATGACGTTCGTATCAATTTAATTATTCATTGTCCTCTTGAAGGATAAGGTGGAAAAGCGAACAAAGACAACGAAGTACCATCTTTTCTGCTAATTTGACATAAATATATTTTGATTTTTTGTTTCTTTTTCGGTTTTGTGTTCTGGGGTTCAGTAAATAGCGTATAAGTAAGTGATAAATAAAAGTCTTATTTTTATCTTAACAATTTCTATTTCCCACTTTTTTATTCATCACTAATCGTTATTTTCCAATTCCATAGCTTCGGAAGTAGTTTCTTTTTCTATTACTGTGGAAGGATATTCCTTAACTTTCTTCAAGTTTTCGTATAATATATATAGAGCACCAGTTGACGGGATATTTCTAAATATCGATGGCAAAATCCCACTGTAAAATGCCAGATAACCATCCTTTCGTAAAATGTCCCTTGCTATATGGCGGAAACTACCTTTTAGATTCTCTATTTGTATGCGAGATTTCATAACGTCTAACGGGAATGTTGTAATACTTTGGACGACTGCACCAATTGTTCCAGCCAACAATATTCTCCAAGTATCGATGTCATCTTTAGATTCTATTTCTCTGAAAAATAATAATGATAAATACTTATATAATAAAATAAATTAATTAATTATAGACTACAATTTTAAACATTTTCATATCGGCCAAATAACTGATTTTTAATCTGTCTCTCTCTCTCTCTCTCATTTACTGGATGAAAAACAATTGGTTTAGATTTTTATTATTGGTTTTAGAAAAATTGAGGTGGAGAGAATCACACTCATAGAAGGCACGCGAACCTGGTCGAACTTTGACTACCCTCCACCATTTGGAAAGAATTTGGCAGTTTTCAAAAAAAAAAAAAAAAAATAAATAAATAAATAAATCAATTTGTTAAAAATTCTGTAAACATCTTAAAAATACCGAATGCAGCCGTTATATTAGGGTCTATACGACCTGTATATGCAACTTTTGTCATACGCCAATACAATATTTAAATGCGAAACCTGACAAAAAATTGTGAATAATGTAGCTAAAATCATCAAAGTACCGAATATCGGGAGGTGCCGTTATATGGGGGCTATACGAAGGCGAGGACCTGCATGGACAATTTTCTGTCATAGGCTGTAGTATCCGTTGCGAGCTTCAAATACCAAATTTGAAACAATACCGGTGAATAATGTCGCTAAAATCATCAAAATACCGAATATCGGGAGGTACCGTTATATGGGGGCTATATGAAACCGTGGACCTACATTGTCATTTTACCAAAAGTCCTACAGACATAATATACATTTGAGTAAAATTGTATCAACCTACTTCATTTCGTTCGGAAGCTAGAGTGATTTCCACAGACGGGTGGGTGAACAGACGGACAGAATGACGGACATCGGTAAATCGACATAATATTTTATGCTGATCAAGAATATATATAAATACTTTGTGGCGTCTAAAATGTATATTTCGAGGTGTTACAAACGGAATGACAAACTTAATATACCCTCCATACTATGGTGGAGGTTATAATAAATACAAGTTAGAAAATATCAGTCGGTTTTGCCGACAGATATATACCCTCCGCCAACGTCCGTTTGTGAAAACTAATTCTGACTTGCGTTATGATTATTTAAATGTTTACCGCGAATGGTACGGAAGCAGTGGGCCAATATTTTCTATTTCGTATCTGACTTATAAATATTACAACGTGCCAGATTTTTAATATATCGACTACATCCTTAAAGAATCCCTGACTTGTTTCACAAGTTGTGATAAATATAGTTACTGAAAGTTGTGACCCTTTGTGGAGAGGTACGAGAAGGAGTGGTCCGACATAGTCCGTCTTCCCACCTGATCTTGTGTTGATAGAAATATTGGGATGTGCCAAATTTGAAAATAATCGGTTGATCATTTCACGTTTTATGAGTTCATGCTTGTTCAAAATGTTGGAGCCAGAAGGAGTGTGTCGATATCTACAATTCTCACCACAGGACTTGTGCTAGTAATAATATTGGTATGTGTTGAATTTGAAGATAATCGGTTAATAATTTCACTTTTTATGAGAGTTATAATTATTCAAAATTTTGACCTTTTCTGGGGAGATACCAGAAGCAGTAATCCGATATACCCCATCTTAACAGCTGATCCTGCGATAGTAGAAATATTCCGATGTGCCGAGTTTGAAAGGAATCGGATGCTCATTTCGGGTTTTGCAAGCTTCATGGATATTCAAAATCTTGAACCCTATGTTGGGGAGGAACAAGAAGGAGGAGTCCGATCTCTGCTGCCTTTATAACAGATATTGTGTTGATAGAAATATTAATTTTGCGTTTTATATGCTTCATGGATATTCAAAACTTTTACCCTTTGTGGGGGAGGTATCAGAAGGATTGGACCGATCTATCTTCACTCCACACCTTGGTTTAATAAAAATATTGTGATATTTGTAATTTGAAGACAATCGGACACTTACATCACATTTTATAAGAATTATAATT